CTCTAACTACCCCAGTGATCTCACCCCTTTGTATTTGGATCTAGATCTCAAACTTGGACCTCTCCTCTCAGCTCCGCATCTGCAGACTAAAGTGCATATGCACTTGACACAGCCACTTGACTGTCTCAAAGTCACCCCAGACCCAAACCCAAACCCAATCAAGAATTTGGACTTCAAAGACCTAGTTCTCATGCACTATTACCCCTGCTTGTGAATGGTACCACCCAGAACCTCAGGAAATCCTGACCTCCCTCTCCTCATTCTCTAGCTCTATCAACAGATCTTGTGGATTTTACCTCCTCTTGAATCCATAGTGTCCTCTGAACTTACTGCTGTCACTCTTGTCCTAGAACCATCACCTCTTGCTTGGACTCCAAAGATCCAGGACTCAACTCTTGTTTCTTTTTCTTATCACTGTTAGAACAATGATTTCTAATTGCACAGCTCACCCATCACCCCTTCCTTCTCTTCTGCACCCTCACCTCTCTGACTTAAAGCCTTACAGTGACTTCAGAAACTTTTTTTTCTTGGGTCTTTTTGATACAGGGTTTCACTCTGCAGTTCAGGCTGGTCTTGAGCTCACTTTGTAGCCCAGGCTGGCCTTGAACTAACAATGATCCTCCTGCCTCAGCCTCCCCAGTGCTGGGATTACACGCATGTGCCACATGCCCAGCTCAAAAACTCTTAAATGAAACCAAATTCTTTAAAATGAGCCCCAAGATCTGCCTGTCCTGGATGCTATCAAAGCCTCCCATGTCACCTCCTTCCCTCCTCTCCCTTGTGGTCTACGCTCCAGTCACACTGGCTTTCTTCTGGTCCCAATCCTCCTGCCTCTGTGTCTTACACATACCCACTCTCCCAGCCTCCTTGGCCTGGTTCAGTCACAAGCTTTCAGACTGTGGCTCAATCTAATGTCCACAGGGAACTCCACACACTCAAGAGTGCTCCTTCCCAGGGCCTTCGGCAGCGATGAGTTTACATAGATGTCCTTTTGCCAGCAGTTTCCTCCCAAGCCACATCCAGCACAGTGCTAGGCATAGAGAAGTCACACAGAAGTGTTTGCTGGCTGACTAAATAAGCAAAAGAAGGCACTGTGTTTGGTTCTGGAGATACAAAGTTGAATAAGGCACAGAACTTTCCAGAAAGCAACTCATCAATTGGGAGTGAAAGAGGTTCAGCAGATGAGATATTTAAACAGATCTAGCATGCAGCATAACTGAGGAGCTGCCACACGCATCCCCCAGAGGAGATGGTGGTACCTAATCCCACTTACCCACCCCAAGTGGGGCTCAATCTAAGTGATCTGTCAACCTGCCAAGACCCCTGGTCATCAGAATCTTGAGTATCCCTGGGATGTTCTACAGTGCTGTCACCTCTGTATATCAGTGCCACACATCCCACAAAAGCCCCACATTCGGGAACTGGGCGCACTGTGAGGCCTGCCAGAATGCAGCATCATAAAAGGCGCTGGTTAGAGAGGAGCGCTGTGTAGAGGACGGCAGTCAGAAGGGCGCCTGGTGCCTTCCAGAGTGTGAACTCAGCACAGCCTTGGACCAAGCCCGGGGCGGGGGCAGGGAAAGGTAATGATTTTTCTCCCCACTGGGCAACTGGGGACACTGAGGTCAGTAGAGATCAATTAACTTGGCTGAAGCATGAGAACAGCTTTGGAACAGAAGCTGGAGAAAACCCAAGGGCCTCTCCATTGAGTCCACTGTGCAGACTGATGAGTGGAGGAGAGCTCTCCAGCTTTCCTGTGGATGAGCTGCAGTAGGAACCTACGCTACTTGGCTACCTTGGTACAGGACATTTCCATGGCCTCTTTGGACCACCAAACATTAAAGTGGATAGCCCCTGAGAGCATCAAATCCAGCACCCTTGTAAAAAGAAGTAAACGAGGCCAGAGAGATGAACCTCCTTTGTTCTCCCTTTTTCCTCTGTGCCCTGTTGATGATATCAGCTGCTGGTGTAGAGACTGTCAATTGTCTATCCAAACCCTTCTCCCCTTCTTCGTCCGTGTGGTTAGGCTACATTTCTCAGGCTTCTAGGTTTTGTTGAGCCAGATCACCATATTCTTCCCAGCAGAATGTAAGAAGTCCATGGAAGTCTCCATGCACATAGCTATGTATTCTCTTCATCTCTGACTGGTCAAAATTTCAATTTCCAGGGTGTCTTTGGAAATCATATATTATAGAATGACATCCCTAAAAGACTGTGCAAGGGACTCCTTCATGGCATGAACATCAATCAGTGTGTGAGTCTGTTAAGTGAACAAGAATGAACATTATAGCGTTAAGCTGCTGCATCGGGGATTCTGTTTGTTAGTGCAGCCTAGCCTAAGCCTAGGCTGATACCAGGAGAGGCAGGAGGGCCCTTCAAAGCTCTAGACTCTAGGTAGTCTCCAGGGTGGAGACTGGGTTCCCACTGATTCCACCACCAGTCATGTTGGAGTACACTCGCTTCTAATTCTGGGGCGCTTAGGAATGCAGATTCTTAACTCACTTGTTTCTAGAATTTGATCTCAGTTGGCTTTCTTCATTCTATATCAAAACTCTCCCAGGACTACCTGGGTCTGCGAGATCATCTGACTTAATCTTCCTAGCTCCAAGAGAAGCCTTCATCCTAGCCATCCGAGATGATCAGGAATCTTGTCTGGATTTCCATGTCACCAGGAAAAAAAGAAAAACTACGAATGTCCTTAGAAAGCTGTTTCAGACCTCCCTGCTCTGTGTCAGAGGATCTTTATTGAATCTTAAAGGATCAGAGCTGGAGAACTTCTTAGCAATCATTTGGGCCAGGCCATGTTTTACAGACAAGGATCCTGAAATCCAGACCACAATTAAAATGTGAAGTCAGAGAAAGGAGCAAAAGCTCTAAGACTAAGACATGGTTCTCTATCACCTCCAGTTTTCTTGCTGATTTCTCTAGTTCTGTCCTAGGAAGAGACTTAAAAAATAGATCTATACATTTATATCATCTGTATATGTGTGTGTGTGCTGTGGCTCACTTAACACTGAGATCAGGCCTTCCAAGTTCTTCCTGTATCTCTCTCTCAATTTGCTAGTCAAGCCCTGCACTCACAAGGCAGGGAAGATTACAGAGAGATAAAGCCATGTGGCTTAAAGAGCAGGGACAGGTAGCAGGTGCATGTTTGCCCTTGGGCGCTGGCAGGGAAAGCAGACTTTAGTGAGATTCCTGCATCCAAAGGCAAAGCCTGGAAGAGCCATTAAGTCCTCAAACCTTTCTGGTTGCCTGTGAGGGTGACTCACAGCAAGTGAAATGTTCTCTGTGAAAAGGAGGGAGTGGCACTGGCCACCTCTGAGGACAAAGCGCTGGCCCGCTGGGGCTTGTCTGGCTGGGTCTGGGCAGCTCTGCTGTCCTGCCTGTTAGTGCGGAAGCTGAGCAGAAGCCATGAGCAAACCAAGCAATTTACAGGGGTTACCATCTGGCACTTTCTTTGAGAAACCTGGAAATTCCATGACAGAACTAGAAAGTTAGGTTTGCTCTACAGTCCTTCAAAAACAAAACAAAATGAAGCCACATTTTTACTGTTTCCTTTCTCATTTAAGGTGAACTTGTTTATACACAGCAGCATCCTTCAAGTTTTCTGCCAAATGACTCATTTGTCATCAAATGTCACCAAATGTCAAATGTCATCAGAGTCACCAAAAAAGTGGGCCCAGGAGCCCCAAACACCATCATGCATTCCTTCCCCTGAAGGTGGGTCCTAGAGTCCAGACAGAGAAACAGAGGGGCAGAGGAGAAGGAGGAAGGATGGCAATCTGCTCTCAGGTTTTCTGAAGCATTTGGCAGACAGGGTACCCCAATGCACCCAGGGGCTGTGGTAAGCTTTCCAGTTGAGACATTGTTTGAATTAATGTAAAGTCTGAGTTAGAAAACAAGAATGAGTGATGACTGACCCAGTCATTCAAAGATACCTCAATCTTCGGGTCTGGGTTTAGTCTTGAGCAAATTATTTCCCCATTTGGAGCCTCCTTTTCTTCACTTACAAATTAAGAGGCTGGCAGTCTTAAAATTCTGCCATTTTATTATTTATTTACTGGGAGGGGAGAGGTCATGAAAGCTTGCAGTCATAAAATTTAGGCATTTAATTACTTACTGGGGGATATGGACACATAAGGAACTTTATTTACTAAGAAAATCCGGGGCTGAGGATTTAGCTCAGCGACATAAGCACCTGCCTTGATCATGAGTTCGATCCCGGTACCGATTTAAAAAAAAAAAAAAGAAAATCTGTTTACACTAAATCTTTGACGCTCTCCCCCAAGCATTCATTTCTCATGCAGTTATGTCCCTGCATTGCTTTGTTCAATTTGCAACCCGAGGCCCTTTTCCTGATTGCATTTGCCCCAGCCCAGCTTGCATTCACAGTTTTCTTTTCCCTGGGCCTATTTGTGTGTCCTGGAGGTGACAGCTCTGCAGAACTCTGGCATAAACCAAAGGCCAAGTTGGGGTGGGAGAGGAAACTGGGCGCAGGAGGATGAAGGAGAGTTTGCAGATTCCCGCCCGGGCCAGAGGATCCCAGGAAGGGGCAGAGGTGGTGCCGGGGGGCCACGTGGACTCAGTCAGGGCAGCGACAGCGCGACGGTGCGGAAGCAGGGCCCAGGCATCGCCGCTCCATCAGCGTAATGGGCAGGTCTAGCGGTGCCACCACAGGCCGAGGACCCGCTTCCGCAGACCTACTGTGCGTCCACGGAGTCGGCCAAGCGGTGTCTTGTTGGCGAAGCCCGGGTTTCCTCGTTTGACTCCCGCAGGCAAAGCGGTGCTCCGAGGCGTGTGCGCGTGGCCGCAGCGCCCCGCCCCGCCCCGCCCCGCCCGCGCCGGCGCCCCCCGCCCGCTCCCCGCCCCCGCCCCCGCCCCGGCCCGCCGCGCGGGGCGGTGATGTCAGCCGGGAGGAGCCGCCAGCCACCCGCCGGCTCCGGAGCGCGGCCCGCCGCGACCGCCCCTCCGCCCCTCCGCCCGCCGCGCCCACAACTTTTGAGGCGGGGAGCGCGCTCGCAGGCTCCGAGCGCTCGCTGCGGCCCCGCCGCGCCCGGCCCGCTCCGCAGCGCCCCGCGCCGGGCATGTGAGCGCGGGCGGCCCCGCCAGCATGGCCTCGCCGCGCGCCGCGCGCTGGCCGCCGCCGCTCCCGCCGCTCCCGCTGCTGCTGCTGCTGCTGCTGCTGCTGCTGCTGCCGCCGCCGCCCGCCAGCCCCGGCCCCAGCCACGCGCCCCGGCGCGGCCGCTCCGGCCGGCTCCCCCGAGGCGCGAGCGCGGGTGAGTGAGAGCGGGCGGTGCGGGCGCGTCCCGGGGCTGCGCCCGGCCCGGGCCCCTCCGCACCCGAGACCCCGCCGAGCGGCGAGCGGGACCCCGAGGGCGGGCCGGAGGGAGGGACGCGCGCCCGGAGGCGGGCTGGGGGTGTGACCGTCGCGCGGTGCCCCCAGCTCTGAGAGAGAACTTGGCTGTCCCTTGGCACCCCGTGTCTCCACCGCCGCCCGCTCCCTTCGAGAAAAAGAAAGCGAGAGACGCCGCAGCTCCTCTCCACCTGGGGGTGATAACTTCCGGCCCCGGCTCCCCAATTCTTCTTTTCCTTCCTCCCAATAGACACAGAATTGGCTTCCCCGGTTAGAGAGCCGGGCTTTCCAGTATAAATAACGGATTCTTAAAAGGTCCTGGAGCTGAGGATGTGAAAAGGACAAAGGATGTAGTTTGAAACCGCATGATCTCCTGGTTCAACCCTAAAAAGTGGAGGAACTTGGGGAAGAGCCGGGAGAGCTTGAGCCTCTCGGAGCAGACGGCCCAGCGCCGCCCCTGAACCTTTCCTTCCCTGCCCGCCCCTGCGAGCTACTCCTTCAGCGGCCCCGAGGGCCAGGCAGAGAGGAACTGACCCCTCTCCCTGTGCCTTTCTCTCTGGCTCCTTTCGCTGGCCTTAAACAAAATGCCAATTCTAACCGTAATGCAGCTGTGGCCCAGGGAATGTCCTCTCCTTTGGTTTAGTTTCTCCATCTGTAAAATGGAAGTGATGGCCCCTGTTCCTCCCACCCTCCCAGCGATGATGTGACAAAACGAAAGTAAACATAATGGAAAGTGCTGTGAACAAAGTCAGCGGCGTGGTGGTGTCCCCTGCGCCTTGTCAGAGACACAGGGCGTACACTCAGGACGTCCTGGAGAGACCTGGTTCCTCTACACAGACACTGATGTAGAGTTTAGATGAAGATTCGTCTCCCTGAATTTCGATTGGGCTGAATTTCTACTATCATATATTTTTTTTTTTCTGGTATTTGAATTAGTGTTCTTGACCCAGCCTAGGAGTGTTTCCTGCGATAAAATAAGAAAAAGCTTTTTTTCCCCCCAGGAAAACCTCAACCCCATATTCAGCCATGCTCCCACCCTTGCAAACTGTCTTGTCTTTGTGAATGTCTAAGCCACTGGCCTAATTTTGAGAAACTGAGGAACAGTAAAGAAGGGAGAGGAGAAAGAAACTTCAAAAGATGTATGAGAGACGGATCCTGCAGTGACTCTGATTTTAGATTTCTTTTTTTTTGTATCAGAGATTGAACTCCTGACCTCACACTCTGAGATGCTTATGCCACTGAGCTAAATCCCTGGCCCTGACTTTTAGATTTTTAACATTGTTTTGTTAAAAATTTTCAGTGCAGGGAATGAAGAAGGTGAAAGAGAACACTGCCTGACTTTTGCAGTAGAAAAGTAACTGAGTGACACTGCATGGTATTTGGTGACATTTCAGAGGGGACATCCCGGAACAGAAGTCGGATGTTCTGGTACTCTGGCTGGCACGCAGGCATCGGTAGCTGAGAGTCTGCTGTGGCCACGGGAGAGGAGAGGAATGCTGCCTTGGGGGGCCGGGTGGGAGGAGGCTGGTACAGGCCTCTTCCTTCCCTGGCTGGGAATCCCCACACATCCCACAGAGTGGGTGTTGAAGACGGAGGGATCATGGGGCACTTGGGTTATAGGAAAATAAGGTAAGAATTAGGGCTTTAACCCAAAGTTTCCTCACAGCCACAGCAGGTAACACTGCAGGTCTTTGCTCCACATCCCCCCTTGATTCATTTGAGGAGATGATTGTGATGGAAGACTTGGGTGTCTGAGATGGCTGAAGAGCCAGGCAAGATCTCTACTTGTTTTTCACCGTGGCTCAAACAGTGTCACTTAAAGAAAACAAAGACACAACACATAAGAAAACCAGCCGTAGGTTACTTTAGTGAGCCCAAGTTTTCTGATACCCTGAGGACTTCCTTGGCCTGTTTGGAGTGGCCATCACACATCACTAGGTACTAGCACGTATTTCACAATGTAGCATAGCATGGTGTCAAGGCTGAAAGGGCCTCCAGGGGTGCCAGCACCCTGACAGATAGTTCCCCTGGCCCTGTGTGCACGTGCTTGTGTTCAGAAGGGTGCTTCTGCTGCTATGGAGCCTGGAGGCCTACAAACAGTGCGCTTTGTCTCAGAGTCTGGGAAACTTCCCACAGCCCCTTCCTGCTGTGGGATACCAGTGGTCAGTGCTTGGCCCTCGTGGCTTGGCCTTTCAGATCCACTATGACTATGTCAGCCGCAGGGACCAGAGTTGTCCTTTTCCTCTGAGTGGGCTGTTTCTAGCCCTGTTTCTCCTGGTGGAGTTCAAGGTTGACTAACTGAACTCCACGTGTGGCGCGTGGGCCTGGTTGGAGTGTAAGTCCATGGAGGTCAGCCCCGTTTGTGAGCCTTGTTAGGCTTTCGCGCCCACCTGCTACTCTGCTCGCTGCTCGGCTAGCATTTACTGCTGGTGTTCACCCAGCCGTGGTAAGCAGGCTGAGACCCAGAGGTTTCCTTTCTCTGTGTGGTTTCCTCCTACTCGGGGCTTCCGAGCCACAGTTCTAAGATGAGTACTAAATTTATATGCTTTGATTTTTTTTCAATCCATAGGCCATGCTTTAATTATGAGATCCACAGATGGGGGGGGGGGTTGAAATGATAATGAAAATCCATGCAGAGAGAAGAGAACTTTCCCACCCAAAGGGGAAATGATGCTGAGTGGCTGATCTGCCAGCTCAAGGAATAATAATCTTAGAAAAATGCAGCTCCCTCGAGTAAAGGAAGCACTTTGAGCCCAGCCCCTTCTGAGCTGTTAAATAGCTGTTGCCTGAATTGCTCTAACTTTGTGGGCCAACTTCGTCATTTTGCTTGACTGCTGCCAGAACCCAGCAAGATACAATGAAAGCCCAGGTTGGGCAAGAGGCAGCCCCTCAGAGAAAAGAGAATAGCTTTCCCCGAGGAATGTGGCCATCTCCTGGTGAAGCGGGGGGCCAGGTTCCCCAAGGCTGTTTGCTCTGATGGAAGGTGTCCCAAGCAAAAAGCCACTGAGGGACAAGTAGGGGACTAAGGTCTCTTAGTGTGCGTGTGTGTGTGTGTGTGTGTGTGTGTGTGTAAAAGCCACATCCCAGTCTTGGTGCAGGCCTGTAATCCCAGCTGTGGGGGGCATAAGACAGGAAGGTTCCAAAATCGAGGTCAGTCTAAGTAATTTAGCAAGAGCCTGTCTCAAAAAGGCCTGGGGATATATAGCTCAGTGGTAGAATGCTTGCTAGGTTTGATCCTCAGCAATGCAGGATGAAGAAAAAAAATGCCACATCCTTTCAACTTTGCAATAACCTGTTTATTGCTTCTCTCTACATACGTGCATTAGCTGAGCCAATACTTCTGCCCGCGGCCGCCTGTGTGAGCAGAGGGAGATGAGGGTGCACCATGCCAGCAGGGCGGTCACTGCCTTCCAGCCCTGGACAGCCAGCTGGGGCAGGAGCCACTGCCCTCCCAGTGATCCCTCTGCTTTCCAGCAGCCTGCCCAGCTGGCTGAGGAAGTGTCCTGGAGTTGACTTGTCCTCGTCCAGAGACACTCGGGACGAAAGCAAAGAACAGATGGCACCTGTGGTTTTGTTTGGTCCTCGCTGCCGCCTTCAGCAGCCTCCCTGTGCCCAGTGTGTCCTCTTGGTCGTGAACAGGTGGTCTTGGCTACAGTGAATGCCTCTTTCTCCAAAGGATCGCAGGGGGCCAAGAGGAAAGAAGGCTCGTTTTGGTCCCTTTTATTCCCTAGCCTTTGAGCGCCTGCGTGGGGTTGGTGCGTTCACATTTCTTAGCCCGTGTGAGCACTGTTTTTGTCTCCCCTCCCGTTGTAGAAATTGGAGTCTGCAAGATTAGGTCTAGAGGAAATGGAAGAGGCGTTTCAAACAGAGTTGACCGAATCCATTTGCTCATTCCACAACACCACAGAGTCTTCTCATCTGTAAAATGGGGCAGAGGTGGTCCTAGATTTCCTTGCTCTTGCCTTTTTATGGAGGTTGGGAAGCACAAGTGGAAGAAGGTGGCACTGGTAATTGGGACAAACTGTGGAGAAATGCTTTATAAAATTTTAATTGGCCAAGTTAAGACATGAAGTCTTTTTACATGTATAAAATGGCATTTTATGTAGATTGTGATTTATGCTCTACTTATATGCTAGTCCATAGGTTACGGATGGGAGCGAAAGCACCATTGATTATGATCCAAACTGAAATGAACTGTGGCATTTCTTAGTGGATTTTCTTCCTGGGAACTTGGGCAGCAGCTGATAAAAGGCAGTTACTAGTTGTCATGAGTACTATTCAGTAGGAGAGATCCTGAGAGCCACTGCTGTTAAAGTCACTTTCTTTTTAGTGTCTGTATTGTCTACTTAATATTCATCTTGTATAGGCAGAAGTGAAGATGTTTCTAGCCTGTCTCTTCTGCCTTTAGAGATGGGTGGGTGTCTCTGTCTGTGTCCCCTGTGACTGACTTATAACTCAGGAAATATGTGCTGAAACCCTCCTACATGTGAGGAGGGGCCAGGTGACACGAGTTTGTGGGTGCATCTGTGATGTCCCTAAGGATCTTACTGGATTGCAAACACCATGCATTAATGATTAGTAACTGAAAAAGTGTTCACAAGGCCACACTGACTAAAGGAATGATGCGGTTAGAGATGGCTGCAGTGTGCAGGACTAGAGAAAGACCTCTTGGGGAAGAAGGAGCCGATTTAGCTTTGGGAGGTGACATGGACATGGGTATATGGTGAGGTAGGAGGTTATTGGCATGAGCGGAATCCCAAATGTTAAAAAGGTCAAAACTTTTTTTTTAAAGGGAATAAAACCCACCAAAACAAAACAATAAAAGTAATCAAAGCAAAGTAGTGAAAATGGTACCGAACTTCAAAGCAGGGTAATAGGAAATCAGCAATGGCTACCATAGTATATTTTGGTGTCTTCATAATA